TGTTCAGTGTGTGAAACTGTGATTTCAGATATTTTGTCTGCTTTTCCAGTTGTTGAGGCTATCAGGGCCATTCCCAAGCCAGTTAATCTTTTGTACACAGAAGTAAAAATCTCCCTATTATTTTGTTTTGAATTCATTCCATCCTGGCTTTATCTCCTAGCCCTAGAGTGAAACTGATTTTTAAAACTTTAACTCAGTAGTATTTAAAACACAGCCATGTGTTGCTTAATGGTGGTGGTATGGTCTGAGAACTCTATCACTGGACAGTTTGTCCTGTGATTCTGTTACAGTGTCCGTACACTGTCCATTACATAGTGTGTGCTTGTCATGGATATGGCCTCTGTATACAGTCAAGAGACGTGGTGAGCAGAAATAATATGAAGCTGCTGCACTGTGTTTTACAGAACTTAAAAGTGCTATAGTAATGATTGCTAGTGGAGTAAACACAACCAGAATCATAGCTGTCCATTGTCATTACCAAGTGTTGGATACTGTGCATAATCGTACATACTGTGCTTTTGCATGGCTGATAATCTAGTGAGTCTATGTACGCCAATATTACTATAAACCCATGAAAAATGTGTTGTCCGTGGACAGCATGTTGGCTGTGACATCACTAGGAAGTGGGCCTTTTTCAGTCCGTCGTGGAACCAGCATGTGTGTGGTCTTGTAGCCCTGTTGATTTCTCCTCTTGAGCAGTTGTGCCTTTGAGTAGCTTCTCAGAAGCCGTCAGTCTCTTTTGATTGGATCCCTGTCTTCGGACTACTTCTTTAGTGTTGCTGCGTCCTCCTCAGTGTTTCAGCCTCTGAGCCTCGGGGAACCCTAGAACTCCTCTGTCTGTCCTCAGTCCCCGGTATCCAATCTCATGATTTTAACAGGATTCTTAATTGGCACAAGGATCATGGGTTCATGTTCTGAGCTTTCCTTCAACCCCAGATTTATATATATTTGCCACGTGACATAATAGCATGTTATAGTTATGTTTACATATGTGGATAACTTGATATATCTGAAGATGAATTCTGGATTCCCCCCTAAAAAAATAGAACACAGGAAGAACACCAATAACTAAACTCCTGACTGAATCTCCATTCTTCTAGATATTCATCCAATTGATCGAGTTCTTCCTGCTCCCCCTTTGAATTATGCTTTAAATCCAGGTACTTCTAATTATCTGAGGTATTATTTCCCTAGGTCAGGTCAGCATCATTTCTTGTGTGGACTGAGATACTTGTTCATCTTGTTTTTATCCTTGCCCTTTCTATAGCCTTTTCTCCATTTGACATCTAGAGCAAACTGTGTGTGTGTGTGTGTGTGTGTGTGTGTGTGTGTGTGTGTGTGTGTGTGTAGGAGCGTGTGCCTATGACTGACTGATTATGGAGGACAGAGGAGGATGTTGGTGTCCTGATGTACCATTCTTTCCCTAATTCCCTTGAGACAGGGTTTCTCCCTGAACTTGGAGCTAGGCTAGCAGCCCTCAAGCCTCAGCCATCCTCCAGTCTCTGCCTCCATAGTGGGGATTTGAACTCAGGGCCTCATGCTTGTATAGAAGCATTCCTGCCTGCTGAGCCATCTCCTCAGACTCTAGAGAACACTTAAAAACAAAGAGAGATTTATTTATTATTTTGTACCTTATGTGTATCAATGTTTTGCCTGCATGCATGTAGGAGCAACATGTGTGCCTGATGCAGTGGAGGCCAGAAGAGGGTGGCAGCCCCCAGCCCAGATCTGGAGTTAAGGATGGTTTTGAGCCACCATCTGGGTATTGGGAAATAAATTTCATCTTCTGAAAGAGCAGCAGGTGCTTTCTAGCACTAAACTACCCTTCAGCAGTCTTTTTATTTTTTTATTTGTATTTTTTTAATTTTTGAAGAAACCTATTGGGATGTGGTGGCTGAAAGGTTAAGGTAACAAACGGACTGTTAAAAAAGTAAACCTGATGATGCCAGTTCTGCTCCCAAACTTTTCATTTTTCTTAATAAACTCCAAACAGATGACCATAGATCTGAGGATCTGAGGGGACCTTGATCTCTGGCTGCCTGTCTGGCTTTCTTTTAACCTTCCCCTGCTCCTGTGTTCCAACTACTTTACCTCTTCCCTCTGCCGGTGCTGCAGGGGGTCATATCTGCTGCAGCTCTGTTCTCTTTACCCTCTTCCCTCTGCCGGTACTGCAGGGGGTCATGTCTGCTGCAGCTCTGTTCTCTTTACCTCTTCCCTCTGCCGGTGCTGCAGGGGGTCATGTCTGCTGCAGTTCTGTTCTCTTTACCCTCTTCCCTCTGCCGGTGCTGCAGGGGGTCATATCTGCTGCAGCTCTGTTCTCTTTACCTCTTCCCTCTGCCGGTGCTGCAGGGGGTCATGTCTGCTGCAGTTCTCTTCTTCCAGACAGTGCATGCTTCACTTACTCCTCTCTAATCTTTGCTCAAATGTCTGCACAGCTCTGCATGAAATGCCACTTGTTTTCGCCTTCTGTTCCCTCGTCTTACTCCAGTGTTCTTAGAGCGCTGTAGCTCGCCTCCGACATGTTTATTTGCTTTTCTCTCTGTCCGGAGTGTCTGTGTTAGATGAAACACATGACCAAAAAGGAAGCTGGGGAGGAAAGGGTTAATGGGCTTACACTTCTGCAACACTGTTTATCATCAAAGGAAGTCAGGACAGGAACTCAAACAGGGCAGGAACCTGGAGGCAGGAGCTGATGCAGGGGCTGTGGAGGGGTGCTGCTTACCGGCTTGCCATGGCTTGCTCAGCCTGCTTTCTTATGGAACCCAGGACCTCTTGTCCAGGGATGGCCCCACTCGCAATAGGCTGGGCCTTCCCCTGTCAATCACTAGTTCAGAAAATGCTCTGCAGGCTTGCCCACAGCCCAATCATTTGGAGGCATTTTCTCAGTCGAGGGTCCCTCCTCTCAGATGACTATAGTTTGTGTCAAGTTGACATAAATCTAGCCAGCACACAGAGAATGTAGCTTCCTTTCTCTCCGTGTTCCTCATTTCCTCTTTTGGGATGTTGTAATGCCATATGCTCAGTACTTACAGTAGTGCCTGGCACAGGGTGTAGGTCCTCAGTAAATCTTGAATGAATGAATTGTATTTTCTCTTATTAGTTTTTGGTTTTTCGAGACAGAGTTTCTCTGTGTAGTCCTGGCTGTCCTGGAAGTTACTCTGTAGACCAGGCTGGCCTCAAACTCACAGAGATCCTCCTGCCCCTGCCTCCCGAGTGCTGGGATTAAAGCATGCACCATCAAGCCTGACTGACTGACTGAATTATAAATGAATCTAAGGAATGCGGTTATTAAAAGATAACCAGTAGGTGGCACTGTTTCCAAACTTTCTGTGGCTATGTTGGAGGAAAAGAGATTTTTCTGTTGACTCCCCTGAAAAACAAGGTCTTGTGAGGATTGTCACAGACCACTGGGAGATTAGTGGGATTAATACCAGGCATGCAGAAAACTTAATTTATATTTAGCTTTGATTTTTATTTTTTAAAGAGTTTCCTAAAATAAAAATTATTTGGGGAAACCTATAGGAAATTGTAACATATTGATTGGTATGTTGCTGACTATTCAGTATAGTTACTCAGCATGGCAAATGTGAACAACTGTAACTCCTATCCACACACTGAGTGCTGAGCTTACTGCATAGCTGGATAATAATAACAATAACAATAATAATAATGATAATTACTACATGTTTCTAACAAACCTTCCCGACTTGCCCATCTTCCATGGCCAATGCCATGTCATTTCTCTGCTTTCCTTACTTCCTGTTCTCCTTCTTGAGCACCTCTGCCTCTGTCAAGCACTCCTCACTTGAAAACCTCTTTAAATAGTAGTTTTTCTCTTGAAGCATTTTGAATCTTGTCTTATTGAACCAAATGGTATATTTTTCTTTTCGGTTTACTGAAAATACACTTAAAAGGTTGTTGACGGTCTTTATTTTTCTCTTCTTTCTCCTGTTTTAGGTCACCCACCCTTGCTTCTGATTGTAGCATAGTTAAGGGATTTGTTTTGTTTATCTACTTGAAGTTCTCAGCCTTCTCAGAACCCTGTAACTGTTTGGACCCTGATCTTTTGTACTTCTGTGTCTCTGACTTGAACGTTGAGTATGGGATGGCCCAGTGTTTACAGTTTCTGTTCCAGGTCCCCTGCGTGACCAAGAAGGGCTGACAGATGTCATTTTAACTGGGATACAGTTATAACCAGAGTTTTGTTTTTGACTTTTAAATCCTATACATTTGTAATTTTTAGTAATGCTTTTATACCTCATGTGCCTCATGATATCATTTCTGTTTTGATTTATCACTCTTCACTTGACCTGCCCCATATTATATTTAGCCCTGGGGTCTGAATTCAGTATTTAAAAAATAACTTTTTGTTTACTGAGAAGTAACTGAATAACATGCAGTTGTTTAAATAATAATTTTCTGTTTTCCAAGGAACTGCTAGATAACACTAAATTTTAATTGAGAAAACATGTTTTTCTGGAATGAGACATGCCAACTTAGATAAAAGTTATCATTAAGATAATATACTATATTTATTGAAATAGACTTTGTTCATTTAAGCAACTGAAAGCTTTTTCTTTTTCTTTTCTTTTCTTTTTTCTGGAGCTGAGGACCGAACCCAGGGCCTTGCGCTTGCTAGGCAAGCGCTTTACCACTGAGCTAAATCCCCAACCCCGGAAAGCTTTTTCTAATTTCAAATATGTTAATATAGCTGCTAGACAAAAATGTTCCTGTAAACATATAATTTCCTGAAAATGAAATCTTGGAGACATGTTGCTTGTTGGAGTTTGGGGAGACCCAGAGGCCTTGTTAGCTTCTGTTGACAGCTGACCTCTGCTAATACGTGCAGAGGACACGTGCATTCCAGCTTGTGTTTGCAGCCTTTGGCCTACACCTGACGGGTGGAAAGGCTTAGGGATTTCCCATGTAGAATGGAGACTTAGCAGTGTGGCTTCAGTATTTACCGCTTTCTCTTGTATTTTTCTCCCTTTCCTCCATAGACTGGTAGAGATCGCAGAATCCCGTTTTCCACTGCATTTTAACACTGAAGAAAAATTGCTTCTGATGAGCAGTAAAGTTCATCTTCACCGGGAACTTACCTGTGAGGGAGTTCTACACAGGTAGGCAGTTTCAGATTTTGATGTTTTAGTAATGCTTTGAAGGTTTTTTTCTTCTTCGCATTTTCAGCTTCTAAGTAAAAGAATTCTTATATAATAGAATTAAGGAAATACTTATTTCTGTACTCTTTATTTGTTGTAGTTTTTTGAAATGTTTCTTTAAAATGGAAAAATCATTTAAATGAGTATTTTAGAATCTAAGTGGTTTATTAATTATGTGTTGTTTTGTTAGCAAATTACCTCAAAAAATGTAGCAGCTTAAAACAACAAATATATATTTTCTGGGGGCTGGGCCCCTGGGAGTGGCTGAGCTGGGTTTCCTGCCCTGCTCTTGTCCAGGACTGGAGCCATCTCATGGCCCAGCGGGCCTGGCACCTGTTTCCAGCCTCACTCCTGGGACGTTGGGAGGCCTGCTTTCCTACACGTAGTCATTGTGCCTACTGTCTGGAACAAGAGTACCACTGTGTTGTCAAAGCTTTGGTCACACGGCCCAACTCTTGTACTGTGTGGGAGGGCATGTACGCACGGGGAGGGTATATTCATACAAAGATGTGACATACCAGGAAATGGCAACAAGAGGAGAGGAGGCCATTTTGGTGACTGGCTACCACAAGTAGTTTTACTTTAAAATTACAGCTTGTATAGCATTGTAGGACAACATGAAAACACTCTCTCTGTTTCCATAAGAATGCGATATGAGAGGAGTGCTGTCTAAGTTATGTGTGCTGAATTTCACAGTCACCAGTGTGGACTGTGTGTGTGTGTGTGTGTGTGTGTGTGTGTGTGTGTGTGTTCCTAGGATTGAACCTAGGGCCCAGTGTGTATCAGGCAAGTGCTTTCCCAAAGAGCTGCATCTTAGCCCTTTTTAAATTTTTTGTTTTGAGACAGGATCATGCTTACATTACCCAGTTGGGCTTTGTACTCCCACTGCAGCCCAGTTTAGCCTTGAACTTGCAAACTTCTTTCTTCAGCTTCTTGAGTAGTGAGGACTACAGATCTGTGTCCCCAGGCCTGGCTTCTTGTTTTAAAGCTCATTAACCTTTTTAATGTTTTAGTGTTGTTGTTTTAGATTTATTTATTTTATATTCTATGTATATGCGTATTTGTTGTTTTAGCTCTATTTATTTTATATTTTATGTATATGGGTATTTGTTGTTTTAGATTTATTTATTTTATATTTTATGTATATGAGTATTTGTTGTTTTAGATTTATTTATTTTATATTTTATGTGTATGCGTATTTGTTGTTTTAGATTTATTTATTTTATATTTTATGTATATGGGTATTTGTTGTTTTAGATTTATTTATTTTATATTTTATGTATATGAGTATTATTTGCCTACATGTTTGTATGTACACCCTTTGCATGCCTGATGCCCTTGGAGGTTGGAAGAGGGGCTAGGACTCCCCTGGAACCACCATGTGGGTGCTGGCAGCCAAACCTGGTCCTCTGTAACAAGTATTCTTAACCATTGAGCCATCTCTCCAGCTTGTTAGCTCTGTTTGTAAAAATGATGTCTTGGCAGTTGCTTCCAGATCTTCGATGTTAAGCCTGCTTGCTTTTCTGAGTTCTAATCCAAAAGCATGCCTTTCCCTTCCCCCACTTTCTGTCTCTTTCCTGGGTACCAACCAAAAAAATCCCAGTCATGTTTGTTCTCAAACTCTGGGTGTTCTCAGTGTTTTATCTGACCCTTCCTTGACCTCACAGATGTTTGTAGACCTCCGTTGCTGACCCTAACTCAAAGGGCATGATGTTCTCTCTTCTTCCCTAGCTCCCTCCTCCCAGAAGCTGCCAGGATTTACAGCTTGCCCATCCTGTGGTTAGCTTTTCTCTTAAACCCTAGTACAATGTTCTTCCATCTTCCTTCTAAAAACAAAGACAAATAAATAAATCATGTCTTAAATTTGTTCACTATTTTATAAATTCTACTTTCTTAGGCTTGAATCTCTGGAGGAAGAGATTATTTCCAAAGGAGTTAAGCTCGTGATTGTTGACTCCATTGCTTCTGTGGTCAGAAAGGAGTTCGATTCGCAGCTTCAGGGCAACATCGAGGAAAGGAACAAGTACTTGGCCAGAGAAGCATCCTTACTGAAGTACCTGGCTGAGGAATTTTCGCTCCCAGTAAGTGTCCCTTTTCCTTCTTTTTCTGAAGGTCGTGACCTCACAGGATCGAGTAATAAACTTAGAGAAGACTAGTAAGCAGGTGACCTTTTCAAGTTGGATTGCTCTAGCAGATAACTGGTTTCGTAAGTTACTCTGTCTGCTGAGATTGTTTCCCCCTTTTATAACGTGACGCTGGGTCACATTGCAGTGTTTTGGACAGTTCCCATCACCACTTTCTTTATTCCTTCTTGTTGTGTCCTCATTCTGGATGCTTCGGATCACATCTGTCATGCTGAGGTTACTGTGAAGCAGTGCAGCCCACAGAGTTGCCTGGATCTGTTTCTGTGAACTCTCTTTGCAGTGGCAGGGTACCTTGGAGATTTTGTCAATTCAGTCGTGTAGGTTTTGGTCAGATGTTACTGTGTTTAGCGCTGTTTTGGTTTGCTTCTGGTGGGCAGAGGTCAGCCGTGACTAGAAATAAAACCTTAAAAGAGCTGTTGGAATGGCTTTCTGTTGTGGGCATTGTGATCAGGACATCTGAGCGGGGATTGTCTGGGTTTGGGGTGCACAGTTGACAGCACAGATGTGCATAGTAAGTTCCACCCCCCTCGGCTGCTGCATGTGGGAGGGCTGAACTGCTTCTGCAGCCTCAGGAACACTGAGTACTGTTAGGCTTTCCTTTGCTTTTTCTAGACAGTCTTGCCGTCCGGCCCTGGCCGTCCTCCCCACACCTTCCTGCCTTCCCTTAGTGCTGGGGTTACAGGTGTGGGGTCCACACACTGCCAGGCTTTTCAGTTTCAACCATGTCCCATCCTGACAAAGCAACTCTTTAACCTGAGATAAAATTTGCTTGAGACTTTATAATTTTCATTTGTTTTGGGGAAATTAAAACTTTGGGTCTTGGTATCAAAAATGATACATACAAATTATGTGAGCCACCATGCAGCCTTTTGTTTGCAAAGCCAAGCAGGAAGTCAGGGAGTAGATGTCATACATGTACATTCTACGTATTTTAATGGCTCTGAAACTCATAATTTAGGTTAAAATCAGCCACCGCAAAGTTTATCTTGAGAAGTGTTTTCTTTTAAAAATTTGCAGCTGCTTAAAATGATATATTTACATTTCTATTGTTCCTATTCAAGTAGACTAGGAAAAACTTAAAGAATATTTCAAAGAGATACTTAACTGAATGGAAATTTAAGATTAGTTAGTTGCATACTTATTTTATTAATTTAGTGTTGTTTGACCTAAGCCTGTGTAAAATGTAAAAATTCACTCTTTAAAACTTGCTTTTCTTTTTTTGAGTAGCAATTATAGCCTGAGTGCTTTGCAATTTACTGAGATAATTTACCTTTCTGAGGAAGAAAAAGGACTCTACTTTTCTTTGTTTTAGTAGAGCTCTCGGAAACAGCAGTTCCTCAGTGTCTGCACTCTGAAAGAACATGAACATGGTTGTGATCTGACGTATGACATTATTTGTCAGTCCCTAATCTAGATCCTTCTCCCTAGGCCCAGGACTCCAGATCTGATGCTGCTCTGAGCACAACCAGTATCCTATGGAGTTAGGAGGTGCACACGCCTTTAGTCCTAGAAGGCAGAGGCAGGCAGATCTCTTGTGAGTTCAAGGCAAGCCTTGCCTACATAGTGAATTCCAGGCCAGCCAAGGCTGTACAGTGAGATTCTTGTCAAAAAAAAAGGGGCAGGGGGAGGGGAGGAAACGTAGAAATCTAATGGTTTCTTGTATTTTCTTGTATTGCTTCAAGGCACTGACTCCCCCTTTTTTACCATTTAAGGAATTTTTATTAGAGCAAGAATTTTGTAATTCCAATTATGTTTCTGTGCTCAGTTATCAGTTCTGTTACTTAAAACAGAATGGACAGCCCGAGTTATTCCATGTTAAAGAATTACAAGCTCCAAGAAAGGGGTGCTTTACATTTTTGTACTTTGCGAAAAATTCTTCTTTACAGTCTATAAAACATTCATTTGTTTTTATATTTTACTGTTTTTTTTAAATCAAGTAATCCAGACTTAGCATTGTTTGCTAGACCTGACATTTGCTCAGTACAAAAGGTTCATAGTTTCCTTTCCTTTCCTTTTAAAATTTATTTTATATTTTGCAATTTTTTTTCATAATATTAACAATTTCAATGTTTAGATATTTTTATTCTACAAAGCATGAGGTTGTTTTTTTGTTTGTTTGTTTTTGTGATCCCCTGATCAAATTAAGTCATTTGGTACCCCAGTGGCACTGTTCACTGCTTTCTGGGGAGCCTCTTTTGCTTGGTGTGCTTGTAGTGTGGCTATGGTGTCGCCAACCTTTGAGTGGAGAGACTCTGGATGCTCAAATGTGAAGGAATTCTACAGCCTGCTTGCTGTTCATGGTCAAGGTCAAGAACCTGGAACTGCTTCCATGTTGGCCTCTGCACCCCTTTGAGAGCAACAGCAAATGTTGGGTGAACGGGTGTTTCCTCTTACTCAAGCCATACACCCTACTCTTTCAGACATCCTCTTGAACCCCCATTGCTGACTCTAGTGTTATTACCACAGGAATATGATGAAATATGAATAACACTTCATAACAAATGATACTTATGGAAGTAAATCATCAGGTGGGCTGCATTTGTAATCAATAAAATGCTGTACAAATAATTATGCTAATTTAATGTTATAGATGATAACTTGATAGGTTTATATGTTTATAATATGCATATATTAACCTATGTTATAGCTTCTTTTGATTTTAACATCCATGAGTTAATGTGATGACTCAGTTTTTTGAGCTCCTAGCGAACCTTTTGTTTGTCAAGGGTGACATCATTTGGACCTCATGTGGACAATGCATGTGTTTATATTTTAATTCTGTTATGGCTCTTGTCTACACTAGTCATCGACCATCAAAGAGGTTCTAAGTGACACCACTTTATTGGAAACACACATATTATTATGTCATGGAGGATTTGAGTTATAAAATTAAACATTCTCAAGAGAATTTTATAGACTTGAATACATGAAGACTGTGGTTTGAGAAGCACAGTTACAGAAGTCTGGTGGAATTTTTCTCTCTGAAGCTTTGGGGAGCCGAGAGGCATGCTGCTATGGGGAGCATTGTCTTTAAAGCATGTTCATGATGGTAGTGGAAGAAGTAGTAGATCCCGAAAGTGTTTATAGATGCTTTGTGGAAATAACATGAGGAAAGGATTTAGATGCTGCCTTCTAAAGTCAGCGGAGACTGTGGTTGTACTGCCTGTCCGCTGCCACTTCAGTCCACCATCTGCAAAGCAGTCACGCCACATGGTGAGTTTCGTAGGTTAGGGTACTAGGACATTCTTGTGAAAGGTAATGGTTCGACAATTCACAGGAGCCCCCCTTTCTGTTTTACAGATGATACTGAAGGGAGGATGGCTTTTTCTTCAGCTGTAGTTGCTAAAATTCAGATTATCCTAAGATATGACCGTGGCCATTTTTTCTGTGGTTGCCCTCTGTGCCCTTGGTTCTGTGCTTTTGGGAATATGCATAGCTCTAACTTATTGCTTGTCAAGGCTTCTTTTGAAATAGTAATATCTATTTTTATGCTTAAAACTTTAGAAAAATGAATGAAAATATGTGTATTTCTCATTTTGCTATTTAAAGGCATCTAGATTTAGGATCATCAAGAAGAAGAAACTTTTTTGTTTTAAGTGAAGAAAATACAATAAGATTAAATATTTTATTATTTGAGAAAGGCATAGATTTTTTTCCCTCAAATTCACCTGACCCAACTTTATATGAGCCAGAATTGGTCTTTTCTTTTACCTTTCATCGTGCAAGGTAGGTTTAAACTTGAAGATCATACCTTATCATTGACAACTAATAAATGTTAAAAAATTAAATTAGTGGGCAATTCATTAAATAATTAAGATTTTGCCGGGCGGTGGTGGCGCACGCCTTTAATCCCAGCACTCGGGAGGCAGAGGCAGGCGGATCTCTGTGAGTTCGAGGCCAGCCTGGGCTACCAAGTGAGTTCCAGGAAAAGGCGCAAAGCTACACAGAGAAACCCTGTCTCGAAAAAAACAAAAAAAAAAAAAACCAAAAAAAACACAAAAAAAAATTAAGATTTTATTAATTACAAAATTCTCATATTGTGTTTCTGACTTGTGGCATAGATTTATATGCCCAATTTTGCTGTTTAGTCTTTCTATGAATGTTCAGAGCTTACATTTTTTTTTTTTCGGAGCTTACATTTTTAGGAGAGTCTCATGAAATTGCTCTATGAGGTAGAAATCATAAATCCTTGATATATTAAAACACTGGAGTCAGAGTTCACACTGTGTATCTTTTCTGTGTGACTTTTCTGGAAATCAGGTCTTTGGGGTTCAATCTGACTGTTCATAGGAGTCACTGAGAACAAACACCTCGGACTTGGAGATGAGGAGGGCTCCTTGGGGCCTTCTGTTTGCTCACACCGGAGACCATGTTCTTTCACCCTTCCACTTGCCGTCCATGGCCTTAAACTCCCTGTGTAGTAATTAGCCTTTGTTTCATCGGCTAATGGAGTCATGGAAATCTTCACTTGACTTTGTGTAGCTCTTTCTGATGTTGGGAACTTTGGTTTTATTGTCAGCTAAAGTCAGAAGCTAGAAACAGTGTACAGGTTAATGAGTAGGTGATTGGCGAGGTAGCATTGGTGTGTCTGAAGGGTGCACCCCATGCGGTGGTGGGATGAATCAGGTACCCCAGGAATACACTCACAGCAAAGAAAGGGTAACTCAACCGACTCAAGTTGCTCAAATCTAGCTCATTTCCAGAAAAAAGTCTCCCTGTGGGGCCTGGCCCTTGGCCGGGCCCTGGGAGATGAGCTTCAAGCCCTGGGGATATTCTACCTAGTAAGTATTTTTGTGTGTGTGAGGGTTGAGGCCACAGGTACCAGTTTATGCAAGCAATGTGGTTTGTGGTAAGCATTGATTTTGTTCTGGGGACTGGAGTCTAATTAGCTGAGGTCATCTAAGTGGGTGCTGCATACCTCCTGATTGACCCCTAAT